AATATATAAATTTTTATTTAGCAACTGAACTTTATACTTACATCCTAATATTTTAATGTTAAAAATAGCGATAATCTATAAATTCTTATTTGGAAATTAAACTTTATACTTACTGGCCAATATTTTAAGATTAAATTGGTCAAATAATAATGGTTTTTTATTTTACCAACAAAGCATCTTACTTACTTTCTGACAATCGAATAAAAAAATTTGTTAAAAAATTTTAATTTACTATACAAAAATTATTTATATGATTATTTAATATATATAAGTTTTACACTTACTCCCTGGTGAATGTGAATGCATGATATAATTAGAAAGATAAAATTTATTTAAAATCTTTACCTAACATAAGTTTTATACTCACGAGCTAATAATTACCGAAATTTAAATTGATTAGAAGCAAAATTTAATGAAGTCTTCTATTTATAAAACAAATTATATACTCACATTCTGAGAATATGCAATTAGTTAGATTGCAATAATAAAATTTTAAAAATAAGTTGAGCTTACCGGCTAATATGTATTAATTAGAAAATAATTAACATTAAACCTTTATTTAAATGATCGCCTTAAAATGCTTCTTTGTAATTTCAACAATTCAAAAATAAATAATAGTAAACATTATAAACAAATAGGTTTAAAATAAATTTGCACTCACCTGGTACGCAATTAATTAGGGTGAGACGGAAACTACGATTGACAAATATGCACCAATCGGATTTTTTTTGAATGATCGTCGCCAATAAGATCACTAGATCATGTGTAACGTGAAAATCACGCTTTTTCAAAAAACAGACGATTTGACTATGAAACCATTTTCTGCGCTCTAATAAAAAAATTTCTCGTGAAATTTTGGTATAGAGCATGCATATTGTAATCTCTATTCTAACCCTAACATGAGGTTCTAGTACTTTAAAATATTACGCATATTAAAGTTGTTTTGATTATTCGAAAAGATCTTATTCATGGTCTTACTGGGGTAGCTGTAATACATATCACAGATTTTTATGTTACACAAACAACAAAAAATTTTTTATTCAAATTCGAATTGTGTTATATAACAATAATAATAACGCTAATATATTACAGTATTACATATAATTTATCAGTTTAATTGAAATTTTTATAGACAATTCACGAAAGGTCAAATAACAAATTTACATTTCTTGCAAATTAATGTAGGAATATTGGGTGGTGCTCATTTCGCCGACAATCACTTCAACGACAGCCTATTCCACCGACAGTCAATTCGCCGACAAGTTTATTTCACCGACAGTTATTTCACCGACAGTCATTTCACCGACAAAGTAATTCTGGTCATTTTCGTTAGGGTCAGTTGGAATTAGAGTTAATGTTAGTGCAACTTTTAAAAAAACCTAGTCGGTGAAATGGGCTGTCGGTGAAATAGTTGTCGGTGAAATAAACTTGTCGGCGAATTGATTGTCGGTGAAATGGGATGTCGGCGAATTGATTGTCGGTGAAATGACACGTACCCGGAATATTTAATTACATCAAATTGCTTCTTCATTAATAACTTTCACCCAAACTGACTTAGTGCTTCAAAGTTGTATAATGATGCCACTTAATTCAAGGAACAAAATAGAAATTTGACAAAATTCTAATCATATCTCTTATCGTTATATAGTTCTAAAGTATGCAATATTACATCATTGATAAGTAAGCTCTAAATTTCTCTATTATTAAGATTGCAATAATCTTGATTACTAATACAAAAGACATTCAAAATGCCTTGAAACTTTCACAGATTGCTTGTAAAATGCTAGAGAACATACAAAATGTTTATAACTTTCTGTCAACGTATAAGTTTTGGGCATTCGTCTTATAGAATATCTTAAATTTTATTGAATTAAAGTAAAAAAATTATCTCGAAACTTAAAATTTACTAAAGCTTCCGCAAAAAATTCAACATTTAACCTTCGAAATAATTCTAATTAATGCTCTTCGTCCAAAAACAATTCTAAAAATAAGTGCAGTTTTTGTCTGAATCTTTTAGAAATTTGCATATTTTTGATATAAAAATAATATTCAATTTATTACTATTAATTTCGCTTATAAAATCTGATCTTAGTAAATTGATCAACGTTGCTAACATAGTTTTGATTACTTAGTTGATGTCCCACCCTAGTAATTGATGATGCATAAACAGATTAGAAAAACGCAGGCTAGAAAACGGAAGGTATTCCCTTAAATCCATTCTCTGGTAAACAATTTATCAACAATCACTTCATCGATAAACTGAAACAACTATAACTCAAGATAATTCTCATATTTTGGTGTTTTGTCAAGGGTTATGGTCAAAATGGGTGTAAATATGATGTTATGATAGAAGTGATCATCGATGAATTAATTGTCGGAAACGTAAATATGTAATGTGGTTTGCTAGTTTTACCCCTTAGTAATACAAATTAAATAAATTAGCAGAAATTTTATACCGTCATGATTAGAAAATAAACTTCATACCCACATAATGATGTTTTAACGCATACAATTAATAAGCCATGAATTAATAGTATATAACAGATATATAGAAATAGGATTGGTATGGTTCATTAAAGAAATTCTTTAATCCAAAGAGATTTTGCCATAGAAACTATGGATGCCAAGAATACTCCTGATAAAATTTATAAAAATATAAACTAGCTACGTGATAGGTTTATACTGTTTATATTTTTAACACTTTCGATTAAACCGTAAAAATATCAAAATATAAACTGATAAAACTACTGATAAAACTTTATACGTATGCTTGCGATAAACTTTATATTTAATTAAATTAGCATTTATATTGATGCATATGCTTACAATAAAACAATAATAAACTGTATTGTTTTTATATTTAATTAAATTAGATTTGCATTGTATAATATTTTTTAAAGCCAATTATCGTCAGTCTCATTTCCTAAGACCTCATCAACAATATTCGATACTCAAAGTTCATATTTCCACGGCCTATGCTTGATGTTGTTCTCGATTGTAATTTAAAATTTTTATAATGCGATACCATGTTATTAAAATTAAAAAAAAAAAAGACAAAGCGAGATTTGCTATATCTTCGACATTAAGTTTTGTCTCAGAAGTTATAAATGTATCAGAATTCACTGGAGTAAAAACAGAAGTAGGAATATTCTGATTTGTAATATAAGGCTCATTATCATTGAATATATTATTTGTGTTAAATATATCTTGTAAGGATAAATCAATTGGAATAGTTGTTATATTAGCACATGCCTGTAATTCTTCTTCTGTTAAATCTTTTTTATAACGTTCAAGTTCTTTTCAAATTTCTGAAAGCCAATATATTAGCAATTTGATCATAGATTCAACATGGTTAATTGTAAGATGATTTCTATGATCTTCATAAAACTATTTTAGAATAGAGAAATTCCATTCACATGCTGTTTGTAATAGTATAATCAAAAACATTTTAATAGTTAAATCTTTTAGACTTGTATAGTATTATATATTATGTGTTAACCACCATATAAGTGCAAATTTTTTTTGAGAATTAAAATTCTACATTATAAGGTTCTTCATAATGGTTATATTTTCAAAATTCTTTCAACGATTCAATGCAATCAGTTTAATCATGTTCAAGTGTTTTTCAATAATCACTAGTTGTGAGATATGTTAAATAAAATGTTTGATTTTTAAGACCATATTCTAATAATTAATTATATAATTATATTAACTACATTATTAATAAAAATTATAATATAAACATTAAATTTACTTACTATAATATGATGAATATAAATAATAACTTAAAAGATATGCTTTATAATTAAGTTCTTTATACTGAATATTATAAATATTTATTATTTGTAATGAAAATGAATTTATTTTTGAAAGTTAATAAATTGTTACAATCAATTTTAATATATATATATATATATCTTTAAACAATCATGCTAATACTTTATTAAGATTTTGAAATTATATTTGCAATTACTTAAATATTCTTAACAACTAAGTTTAGCATTATTTGGTTACCTTAATGGTACCAAAGTATAATTTGTTACATTATTTTAAACAAAAGTAAGCTACTTGTCTAACTATTTAAAGTCTATAATAAAAGGGTCTTCTTTCTTTTATAACAAGTACTAAAATTGTTTTCTGTGTTTCTGTTCTAATTTGTTTTTCTTTTTTCTTATTTTTTTTTTTCTTATATTTTTTGCTAATCTGCCTTTTTTTTTTATTTGATTATAGCTTCTTTTTTTCTCTTCTTTTTAACCTATCTATTATTCTTATTTTTTTTTCTATTCCTAATCTTCTCATATCAGATTCTTTATACTTGTTTATAAAATGTATTTTAGGTTGTACTTGCTATTACATTTGCAAACTGTTGTCTTGATTTTATGTTTAGGAGCTATTATAATCAGTTCAGTGTTTCTTTTAAAATTAGGTCTTTAATTAGTATCTTTTTTATTTTCACTTCCTCTATTTCTGTTTTTCTAAAGAGTAATATATATAATATATATGAAAGGATCCAGACTTTTTTTTTTTCAGTTCCTTTTAGGCTATTATAATAATCACTTTCCGAATTCTTTTTTATAGGTTTTTTTGTCCTTTACATATTATCAAATATGCTTATATTTTTTTGATTTTATTTTAATATACTTGGTATTCTGTTGTTGTATACATATCTGGTCTTCTTTTGTTGAATTTTTCTAAACTTAAAAGTTTATTTATTATACATTTTATAAATTACTTCTTCTGGCACTAATTCTTCTTATTGTATAATGCATCTTATTAATTATTTTTAATCTTTTTCAAAAATATGTTTAATTATAAATCATAACTTATAATTTTGATTTTAAGTTTTTAATTGTATTTATTTCTTTCTACTTTGTTTCTAATCTTATATTTATTATTAATTTATATAATAATCTTGCTAGTATATTAGTTTATTTGTTTTCTTAGTCTAAGCAGTATTCTATTTCTTTACAACTAACTTCTTTGATCTATACTATTTTCTTGCTTGTTACTTTTTTCTTTACTAGGTTGTTAGCTTTATCATTCTATTTATTTTTACTATAACTTTTTATTTTAACTAATTCTATCTAAATGTTTTTTGTAGTAATAAGGTTTCTAATCTTCATTATCTATATTGTATTCTTCTTTTTGAGAATTTTACTTTTATTTGCTTGTTCTAAACTTTTACTAATATTTTTTATTTTAGCATTACTATCTATATATATTTCCAATTGCTTCCTCTTTGGTATTATTAAGATTGCTGCCTATATTGCTGCTAGCTTGGTTATCATTAATGTTTACTATTCTTCTAGAACTAGTATTATTTTCTTTTTTAGTTATTTTTATGTTTTATTTGTTTGGACCCATTCTATGCCCATCTTATTTCTAATTACTGTATCTTCTTTGATCTTCATGCTTGTTGTACTATCTGTATATATTATATACTTATTCTTGTTTCTTGTTATATTTCTTCTTAAGACTTTTATTATTTTTTAATTGATGTTCTTATTTAGCTTTTGCTGTCTAATAATTTCTATTTCTAAGTTCTTTATTGTTCTAATTCTTTTAAGTTTTTATTTTTTAATTTTTGTTTTGTTTGTTTTTACTATTTCTGTTATTTGATCTATTGTTATATTAATTTTGTTACTGTCTTTTTTTATTAACATATTAGGAACTATGTTAATTTTGCTATTTACTTTAATCTACTATTGGTAGCTATTATCTGTTTGTTCTTTTACTTTTATACAACTTTTGCATCTATTTATTTTAACAACTAATTTATCTTCTCTATTCTGTATTTGTCAATGTTCTACTAATATTTTTTTTTCTTCTTTTTAATTATTTTTCTCAACTGCTTATGATTTTATATACTATATACTATCTATTATTTTTTTCACTTATCTTCTAATATACTTTTTTATTTAATTTGCATTGTCTACATATTTTGTCTATTTGTTCTAAAATATTCTTTGACCTTTCTGCTTACTGATTTACTAAGCACCTTTAGTTTTATTATTTTGAACCACTTTGCTTTTTTCTCTTTGTTTAATAGGCCTTAGTAATTTTTTAGTTGTTGTTATATAATTAATCTTTCTTCTTTTGTATCAAATAGTTGGTTTAGATATACTAAACCTTTTTTATTTATTCTAATTCTACTTTTCTTTTATGAACAAATATTTATAAATATATTTATTTTGATACTATATCTGAATACTTTTTATAAATTGTCTTCTGTTTTTATATTTATTTTTAATTTCTTTGCTTTTAATATTGTTAGACAGGTCAAGTTATTTTTTCAACTGTTTATGCTTTCTAATATCTTTTCTACTTTCTATATATTTTCTGTTAGACCTGCTCTTTGGCAGTCTTATGTTATTCTTAGTTTTGTTAGTTGTCCAAAACTGTCTTGTCTTTTTAATCTTGCTAATAGTTTATTTATTTGTTTTATTACTATCTATTATTATAGTGTTCTGCAGTTTCTGAGATTATTGTGCTTCATTATATAGTTCTTTAATGTTTTTTATAGGTTATTCTTCTGTTTTGCTAAGCTTATTATTGGTTAATGTATTTTATTTAAGCTTCTTTCTAATATCTTTATTAGTTGTAACATATAGCTTAATTTTAGTATTATTACTATATTGTTTATATATATAATTTGACTTATTGTTATTTTTTTGTATTTGAAATCTTTTATTGTTTGGCTTATTATTCCTTTCATTTTTTTAATTATTAGTACTTTATGCATTCTGTTATTTGTTATATTTTTAGTAATAAACTATCTTATTTCTTAGTTTTTCTATTATTTTGCTTTTTTCAAATATTACATTTTTTTTTTCTTTTTTTAATTTTGTATTTATTACTAACAGCTTTGACTTCATCTCATTTATTTCTATATTATTTATTATGAAGAACTCTTCTGCTATTTCTAAAATTTTTATTAGATTCTGTTTACTATTTGCAATTTACATTGTATTATCTGTATATATAATTGTTGCTTGACAGTATTTTGTAATATTGTTGTATTGTATATTTTTTCCTATTTGTTGCTTTATCATATAGCCTAAACTTTTATCTTTTTGTACTTTTTTTAACAATGCATTATAGAAGAGCTGTCATATTAGTAATAATATTACTTCATCTTGATTTTGTTATCTTTTGCTATTATTCCTTCTGTTAGACCATAAAAGAGCTTTCAGAAATCAGATAATTAGATTTATTAAGAGGCTGCTCTTATCTATTTCTACCTGTTACTTTAATTAGCTAATCAAATTTTATGCATATTTAAAATTATTATTATAATATATATAATAAATTATAGTTTATTATAATAATAAATAAGTACTATTAAGAAAAAAGATAGCATAAGCTTTTAATTACATTTTGTACCAAACAAAATTTAGTGTTATATTTAATACAAAATATAATTGAAAGTCTATACTACTTTTTTTCTTTATAAAAAGAGTTTTATATAATTGGCTTATTTAGATAACTTATTTATATACTTTAAAGTACTTTTTAAGAATATAATATTTTACTAATAAAAACTTGTTATAAAAGTTATTTTTAACTTCAAAAAATGCCTATATTTATTGTACAAAATAATCAAAAAATAATCAACATTTTCAAGAAGTTTATTTAGAAGCAAGTATTTTATTATTTATTACTATTACTATATATATTAACTATACAAGTACTAAATACAAAAAAATAGTTAAAAAAAAAGAATAATCAAGATGTTTAAGATAAATTTATATTTGAAAAAAAACTCTTATAATCTGTTAATTTATTATATTTAAATTTAAAATATTTCTTTTAATAATTCTATTACTTATTTATATTACTTTAGTATTTAGTAAATTTAATATAGCTTTATAATAATATAAATAGAAACATATTAATAATATAAATAAAAAATAGTAGTACAACAACTGTAATAACTAATAAATAAGATTATTTAAAAATTTATATAATTAAATAATTAACATTTTTTTTACTGATCACTTATATACAAAATTGTAAAAAAACATTTTAGAAGTTTGCCAGAAAATAACTGTCAAAACTAATTTTATAGGTTTAAGAAAAAAAATAGAGCTTGTAAAGAAGACATAAAAAAAGTAAAAAGTAGAAAATAGAAAACTTGGTGAAAGAGACAGAGAGAAAAATATCTCAGTTAATATTTTAAAAAATAAAATTTAAAGAATTTTCTATAACCTGGAAATGCAGATCTGTAGATTACAACAATATATAAATAAATAGACAAAACAAACATATGTATTGAAAGACATGCAAACAAGTCCAATTTGAATAGTAATAGACATAAAGCATAGAAATTTTTAGAACAACAAGTAACAAATAGAGACCATTAATAATTAGACTAAATATGAGTAATATACAAAATTAAAAAGAAAGCCTAATGTTAACTTATATCAAAAGAGTATATTGAGTAGCAAATAGCATATACAACAAGGTGTTTTTAACTAAGCTAATAAAATCTTTGTAATACCAGACAGAGAAAATAAAATCATTGCTATGCTAACAGAACAAAATGCATTAGAGATTGCTTTGCTATATATAACTAAAGAAATAATTAAGAAAACAGAAGAAGAGTAGCCAAA